CCCCAAAACCCCAAAACCCCAAAACCCCTATATTTATGAATCAAATGGACCAAGAATATATTATTTAAGAAAATGGAACACAGCCGAAGAGTAAGAGACCTTAGTGTTGGGGTTCAGGAAGGGTGTTGGATTAGGGTATCTGTGGTTTAGTGGGGTTAGGTGGTGGCTATGAGGTAGAAGACACTGCTTTAGAGGTATAAATCGGATTCTAGCAATAGAATTCTCCAATTTAGTACATCTAATGGTAAAAGATTGGAAGATCTACTGACAAGAGATTTCTAACGATTAATTTTAGCAAAGCTTACTAGTTTCAACTGATCTTTTTCAAAAACAAAATGTTATTGAAGATATACAAGAAAACAATGAGGAGCAAGATGAATCTCAGTTTTTATATAAGATCCCTGAAGACCAAGTCTATATCAACGAAGAGGAAGATATGGTATTTCCCTTGAGCCAGAGTACAGTGGATGGAAATACTACTAGACCGCTAAGATGGATATGTTGTTCTAAGACCCTCTCAAATTTTAAAATAAGGAGAAGAACAGTGAGGTAACGTCTTAAATGTGCTAACCATAAGTTAATTAATTATTCTTCATATTAAATTTATTCGATTTCTATGAAATTTAAAAATCATGAATTAGATCCTATCAATTTTTATTTATAGATTTCTCCTGATGTTCAACATACTCATCTTGGTGATCGCATTCTTAGTGGTATCATTTATTGATGCAAGCAAGGAGTGGCCTTACAGAACTGGATATTTCGCAAATAAGCTGTCAAGTGACACTTTCCCTTCTTCCAGCGTTAATTCAATCAAGATAAACAACAGAGACTGTATTACTTACATCTTGGAAAATAAGGATTCAGATGAAATTCAAATTGATACAAGTTCTGAAAGATCTACAAATATCGACAACATTTTAGAAGGCTCTGAGCTTTCCATAAAGGTACATTCAGAGCATCCATACCTACAATGATATACTAAGATAAAGATCCCTGGAGGCAAATCTTTATCAGCAATAGCTATTGAGTTTTCTTCTAAATCTAGTGAAAATATCCTCCTGTATGATTATAAAGATAACAGCATTTGGTCATCTCCACTTGTAATAAATGATCTATCTATCGCTATTGATGACTCCAACCCGAATATCTTCTTCAAGAATGAGCATGAAATCACGAACATGAGGGTTACAGGAGCTTATTGAGTCTGAGACTTTCAGAAACTCAAAATTAAAACAATGGATTTTCAAGTTGTCTTTGGAAGTTTAAATATTCTTCAAAATAAAATTTATTCAGAGAACAAAATTACAGTCAAAACTCCCCATGGAACCCACTGTGTTGCTGGACAAACAATCAATACAGTTGACACTTCTTGTCCTAATCAAGCTACAAGAGACGAAGGAATCAACAGCACCATTATCGATACATCCACTTACTGTCAGTCAGAACTCTATGTATGCTCTAATTCTTCATCTTCTTGTCCGTCATCGGGAACTCCGATTTCTTCTGGCCAGGGAAACTTCAAATTGAGCCTAGATGATGGTCCAATCCAATTTCTCATAGACTCTTCTCCAACCCCTGCTAGCTCAACGTATGCTCCTAAATTTGACACTTTTGCAGTCACCTCCCAGAACAGATTACTTGAGAACAGAGAGGAATTCAGTGGAAATCCAAAAGACCCAAGAATGTACATATATGAAATAATGAGCCCTAATCTTGCTCAAACCTGGGTTCATATTTTCTTAAAACAATATCTGCAGGCTAGAGTATGGTTGATCTCTATTCTTTCTTTGAATTTCTTGACTCCTACCACATTCAAATATTCTCTGATTCACATCCCTAATGCTACATGTCCAAATGCTGCTTCAGGTTCGATAGTGTCAAGCACTCGTATCTCATCCCAACTGAAACTTCGGAGCTTTATTGAAGGAAAACATGTGATAGCAGAGAGAGCTTCAGATAACTACTATTCATACGATATTACCTCTGATAATAGGTTCGAGAAAGAAAAAATTTCATTCCTTGATGGTAATATCTTCATAGGGATCTGTCTGGCCATGATGTTAGTTGCAACTATCTTCCTTGTCATACTTGTCTTCTTAATGGTAGCCAAACTTAAGACTGGACTTGAGAAGAGATATCACAAACAGTTACAGAGAGCAAGAACTTTCTCTAAAGCCAAACAAAGCCATGCAAATGATGGATATAACTTTAAAGTAAAAGAGAATACTGACAAGAGGATGAGGAAGCCTACTAAAGTGCTTAGGATAGGCTGCTTCAGTAGTGATATAATTGAGAGATATGAAATCAGAGATGATTCATTCGAAGAGACTATTAGACAGAGAATTGAAGCTGAACAAATGATCCAACTATCCTTTTTCAAAGCACTCAATTTGGAGGTTGATGGCTACTTTAGAAAGAGGAGAAATTCCTTCAAAGATTTTCTCAATTATATCGAACCTGATGAGCAATATTTTAATGACAAAAAGGAAAATAATCCGGAAGATATCAAGTCAGTATCAGTCAGATTAGATTTCCTCCACTCACATTACCTTGATTTTTGCACTAGGCATGGGCTAAAAGAGAGAATTATATCTGAAGAGAAAGCAGTCCTTGACTATTTTGATCTTAAAATTCAAGCGATAAAATCTTCTGCTACATCAGCATACACCAAGATCAGATGGAAGACTTTCTTTGAGAAAGAAAAGCATGAACAGACTAAGAAAATCAAGGGAGATACTGTCCAGAGCGTCAGTGAGCTAAATGCTAGAAGAACTTTCATAAATTTCAACTGTGTAGCTAGTAGACTCGACTCAGATTATATATTGCAAGAAGATCTGATCGAGAGATACAAAGAGTATTGCCAAGAAAATAAGATTGACCCCGTTTCTGCTGGAAGTATTCTGACTTGACAAGAACTGCTTGATTTTGGTGCAGTCCATAAAGAAGATTTTAAGGTTCCTCACATGATTGGGATCACAAAAGTTCCAATTGATATACTCAAGATGAACATTCGAAACTCTTCAGATCACAAAGATACTAATTTCCTTCCTGGGTTCATTAGAAGGAAAGAAAGACATACTTCTATCTTTGATATTCCGATTCGTGGTGGAGGAGTTTATAGTATCTTCAAAGGAAATTCTTCAAGAGCGAGTCTTGGAAGAAACTTGTTCCAAGTAATATTCTCTTTGGCATTCTTATTTGGAGTTCCACTAACATTTCTATTTTGTGTAATCTGGTCTCTACAACAGTTTAACAAGATTGAGAGTGATATTTATGCACCTAATTTTGATATCATCGATATATTCTATGCAAGTTCAACAGACAATTGGTTCGATCACTTAGGATTGTACTGGGTATTCTACTTATTCCTCTCTCTTGGAATACTTTTTATTGTCACTGGTCTAGCTGAGATGATCTGCTTTATTGCTACAGATGGGTCAGACACTGGAAGATATCCAGTTATTAAGACTATTCCAAGATGGATAATCTCGACACTATTCTGGATAATGCTTTGCCTCTATATTGGAATTTACGTGGCATACTATGGAGTTATCTTGCTATGGTGCATCCTAGGAGCTATCTTGAGCCCTCAAAAATTTCTACCATTAGCATCAGGTGCAGGTGTCATCATTGGCTGTGTTGTCTTCTTCTACACAACTATAAATAAGATAAACAACATTCTTGATGACATAGTTACAAAAGTTATTGAAGAGCAGCTCCAGATTACACTTGTTAACAGTCTTAACAATAATGAAAGAATTTCAAAAATTGTAGATACTGTAGATGATCTTCCTCAAGCAACCTTTAATACTGCAGTAAATGTATTTTTGTCAATTAATAACCTTGAAAAGGTGGATAGAGAAGTCACTGACAAAATCCTTACTGGCAATGTAAGAGCGCTAGCAAGTGTTCTCCAAACAAGCTTTATGATACCGTCAGAAATCTCCCAAGGAATTATTGGAATGCTCCTTAACGATCCTCTCCTAATTATTAACTCTGTACAAACATATGCAATTAAAAATGGGATAAAAGAGACATACTTTGTTGATCTTGCAGATTTCCTGTACTACACTACCAATACTAAGATTAAGAATCGGAAGGAAACTGCTAAGAAAATAGCTCAAATTTCAAAGAAGATTCTAAAGAAAATATCACCTTCATTTGATTGCGATGTCATTGATATTATTATAAAGATTGCCTTTGAGAATGATCTCACTCCTTTCAAAGAGATCCTAGAGGCAGAAAATCTTCCTGTAGAGATCCTCTACATTTGAATTGGAGTCAGTAACAAAGACAAAATTGAAATACAAGAAAATATTCTGAAACTTGCGAAAAGATTTTTCCCTAAAAGATTGTATAAGCTGTATTACGGACTTAACAAACTTGCTATAAAGAACATATATGGCAAGAATGACTTTATTGAAAAGGCGTTATCTATATCCCCCTGCATCTCCATTGAGCTCATCTTTGCTTTATTCAGTCAAAATGAAGAGACTGCGAGGTATGCAATGCTCAAAGGAATAGATAAATTCTGTAAAGTACAGGGATATAACATTGATACTCAGATGCTCAAAAACCTATACCTTGGCTTAAGTGCCATCATTAGCTCTGATAAGGTAGATCTGCACTCGCTTGCAGTAAACTCTACCTACAACTTTCCTCTCAATGAAGTAGGCTTGCTTTATAGGGCTTCTCAAGGGGATAGAGCAGCTATCACTTTTATCTGTGATCATTTAAGAATTGGAGAGAATAGCAACATTCTTCGTGAAATTGCTGGAATATTCTGAGGTGAAGAAATTAATCTTAAGGAAATATGTGCAAAGCTAAGCCTCCCATTAAAGCCAGGTATAGCCTAAATTATAACAAATATAGTGAACCAGTTCATGATCCTTGCTCTTTCCTGTAATGATCTTATTTCAAGACTCTCAAATATGGATACTGAAAACATAGCCTACTTTTATACCCAAACAAAGCAGATAAAAGACTCAATTGTAATACTTGGTGATCTTCTGAGTGGTTATCAACAAATATTATATGCCATGGATATGATAAAGGGTATGTATTATATCAAGATCAACCTCATCAGTTGAATAGTTTAAGTCTTTTATTCTCCAGCTTGAATTAATGCTTAGCTAACTCATACTTTAGTTAAATTCAACAGAATAGAAACAAAGATAGGTGATATTGTCCACAGAATCAATAAAATACGCAAGGAAGAATTCGAAATGAGCATGTCTTATTATGTAACCCTTCAACTTATACATAGAAAATTGAACAACTTATTGAAGAAATCAGAGAACTTGTTGATATGTTCACCAATATCTTTTTAGACAAGATAACCGCAAGTAGCACAATAATATCAGATTTTTCTGCTGATAATATAAAGAAAGATTATTTACTCTCTTTAGTAAATGTCGCAATGTTCATATCAAATTGCAATGATAAAGAACTGATGTTCAAGTCCCTGAAGACTGATACTTACAATAACTCAATAAAAATTATTTCTTATGTCATTGGGGTCGATCCTGACAAGCTTCACTTCATTGTGGATCTTTTTACAAGAGAGCCTTCTCAAATCTTTAGATTTGAAGATAAAATTCCTTCGATCAATCCTAGCAAACTTAAAATAAACGGTAATATTTCTAAAGCTAGGCTCAACATGATATCAGAAGTGTTTAGTATTCCAATCGAAACAGTCAGAAAAATGGGTGCTCTATGGGCTTATTCCCAAACAATGATAAATACTACCACTTACAAGACAGTTTTTAACGGAGTGAAAGAGAGCTTCATCACAATTATGGGCAAGGACATCCTCAAAGTAGATACTGGATTTCTTCAATTGATCCTTAACATGAAAACATCCTTCGATAGTGGAGAAGCAAGTGACTACTTCTTGTCTAGTATGAGAGACTTTCTCTCAACGTTAATAGACAAGACATCTTCCGTCTTCCTTGATCAAGAAAAGTTCAACGAATTGAATATAAATCTCGATACAATATGGCAATGGGATACCCTCGTTGGAAAGTCTTTCCTTAGTTCATATAAAAAGGAATTGGAAAACAGCTCTGAAGAAGTTCAGAAGATTATGAATTCTCAAGTCAATCTGCCAAAGAAGGATCTTAAGAACATTTTTGATATATTAAAGAGGTTCACAAGAGTAATTATTACAAAAGACTTATCTTCCATAAGCAAAGGTATTAACTCAAAGCCGATTCAAATGTTATTCCAGGACATCACTCCATTGTTTGATGAGAAGTATATCGACTGAATCCTAACCTTGAACATGATATATTCTTACTCTAATAAACTTAGAACGAGGAAGTATAGAAGCATCAGAAGGATATTTATTCCTGCTATCCTTCTATTCAACAAGAACGTTCTGAAAGAGGCGTTTATGAAGTTGCCTCCCAGAAACTCCCTGTTCAAGAACTTGACAGCAAAGTTGAAGAAACTTGTCAAAAAGCCTGAAGTATTGAATGAGCTTGAAGTATCAATGGAAAATATGTACCAGTGCCTCTTTGAAGCTGGCTTCTTTGATAGACTTTGTGCTAAGCTATTCAAAAAGGACAAAGAAAGTTTCCTTATAGATATTGACCACAAAAGACTTATTAGATTGTGGCTACATCTTAGCAGTGATTATCAAAGCAGAGATAAAATTATTAATAATTTCCTTAAGCTAGGGGAACTTGGCACAAAAGATGACCTCAAAGTATTTTTCTCCCTTGTTAGAAACGATAGCACTTATGAGAAATTGCTACAGAAGTTCTTTAAAGATATAGGAATGCCTTCAAAATTAGGACTAAATCTCCTCAGAGTTCTTGATGTTGAGAATGTTAATATTTGATATAAAGCTGCATTTAACCTCCTAGATAATGAATGTACTAGTCCTCAATCAATTGCTGCCTTTATTTCTTGTTTCAAAGGAGATATTTCCAATATACAAATATTGTCTGATCAACTAGACTTGGATTCACATTTCGCATCAATAGTGTTTCCTCTGGCTATGAAGAACACAAAAGTTGACTATAAGTTACTGTGTAAGAAATTGAGTACTGATAGAATTACCCTCGTAACATTAATCAGCAAGATTGCATGCGGGGAGACAGACCTATTATTGAGACTGACAGACAGCAGCAATACTTTTGACGAATCTCGTTTCTTAGTAAACCAAGAGAAATTACAGCTAATAAATGCAGTGTTAGTTTTAATTAAACAAGTTGTTAACAGTAGAAAAAGTCAGAGCAAGCTTAACTTAAAAGCAGTCTTAAATAGTTGCTCAGTAATCTCTTCTACAATTGAAAACAATCTTCTCTATTACAAACAAAAAAGAAAGATTTTCCAAGCCGAAGAAGATCAGTTTGGTGATGAGGGCAATTTATTCAGAAACATCATAAATGAAACAGTGGCTAATGAAGGAGGAGAAGAGGAGCTTAACACCAAAAATCTTGAAATTCCTGGAAAGACTGCAAAAGTTAGCCCTACAGAAGAAAACAAAGAGGATCATCAGACATTTCATGCAGACTCAGAGACAAATCTCCTCCATCGTGATCTGCATGATGATTCTCCTCTACAAGAGCCTGAACAAAAAGAAGATTCTAAAAAAAAATCAAAACTTAATTTCTCAAAGCTAGTCGAAAGATTAGTATTATTTAGTCTGGGTGATACCTTTGCTGCAGAAGAAATCCTTGAGACTTTAAAAAGTAAGCATAAATAATCCTAACCTTCAGGTCATTACAAAAGAAAGAGAAAATACAAAACTGATTTTATCTATACTATTGAAGACCTCAAAAAGTTCCCAGAGATGATGATAGAAAGAAAAAGGAGAAAAATGGTTAAGGAAGTATGGTCCCTTAACAACAAAAATGATCAGAAAGTCACATTGAAATCAATAGTTAAGAAGAAAATAGAGAGAGACCAAGAAACACAGCCCGTCCCTCTTGGTTCTGCTCAAAGGATAAACTCATATGTTAGAATGATAAACAAAGATAAGGTCTATCAATACTTGTGATACATCTGGAATCAAGAAACGAAGAATCTGTTAAATCAAAACTCTACAGAAAAGACTGAGCCAGCAGATGAGCTTCAAGATGAGACATTGAAAGTCATTCGTGAAAACAATCTCACTGCTTTACATTGACCATTTGTTTCTTACGGATATCAACCCAAAGATCAACCTTATTATGAATGAGAGATTAAAGATTCTGAAACTCCAATCGATTTATGCTTACTATGTGCTCATAAATGACAGCATGGAGTTATCACGAAAATGGTTCCTAAGAAAGGTCCCAGTGTATGAAAGTGTGGGCAAACAAATGAGATCAGAGCTAAGGTAATATTATATGTCTCAGAAACTAACTTATTGTAGCTTAAAAGCAGCATAATCCTAACAAAAATTACTCCATTCAAAAGTCCTTTGAACAAGTGAAGATGTGATCAATTCACAGAGATCCCAGATCCAGAACAAAGAATAGAGCAAGATATGGAAGATGATATCGACGAGCAAGATAACATTGAAGAAAGTAAGCATTCACCCCAATTCTTCATGACCAATTTCTTATTATTATAACTGAAATATTGCATAGATATTGACGAAGGAGACTTATCAGGCTTAGCTGGAGGTAATAATGACAAATCCAACTTCAAACGAGACGTGGTGACTGAAAAAGAGAAACCTTTAGATAAAACTCCAAAGTCGAAGAAAGGTAACTCTGATGCATAATCTTTAGAACTTAAAGGTTTCTTAATCAACTTCAAAGAACTTTCCAAAAGGCTAGTTGCTACCATGGACAATGGCAATTCTCAATTTTACAGAGAAAGGTCTACCCCTAAAGAAGAAACCAAAATTCCAGTTGGCGCCATCAGCTCAGATGAGCACGAAGGTGGTTCTGGGGAAGATGAATTAGATGAGCCTATTGCAGAGACTATCAGAGATCCAAGAGATAGAAGTGCTAGGTCAAACAATAATCTTAATGATGAGCAGGAAGAATCAAAGGAGCTAAGTCGAAGTTACTCTGTGCCTAGACCAATTAGCTCTAGTCCTCAGGATAGAGAAGAGTCGCCAGAACACTCTTCTGAAGAAGGTTTAGCTCGTGAGCAAAAATCTAGCTTTAAAGGATTGTTCGGTCTCCCTAGTACTTTCCAGCAGAAAGAAGCTCCTTTAAAGCAAAAGAAAGATGAATCAAAGCTTCCTCCAATCTTTCCCTCAAGAGAGAGGTTTATGACAGAGCCTACTGTAGAGTATGATCTTTCTGACTTAAGGAAAGAAGTTCAAATTGTCATTCTCAAAGGAACTAAAGAAAAAACAACTGAGACAAATATTAATGTATTTTTAGATAAAAACGAGGAAGAAGAACTTATATGCATTAACAAAGATACTAAAATTATTGATAAAAAAGCAACCGAGCAGGTCCAAGAGGATCAAAGAGAACTTTCAAAGCTTCAATTCTTAGAAAAATATGGCAAAGAATCACAGTTGGTTGTCTACAAGGATGAAAGGAAGAAGTTGAAACCAATAAGAAATCATTTCTCCTCCACTTCATTTGGGCGAAACCCGAATGCACCGATCGATAGAATCCCATCTGAGTCTACAGAGCCAATGCAGCCAACTACTGGAGGAAGAGTCTTTCTAAATTTATTCAACCGAAATGAAGATAAATCAGAGGATCAAGAATCGTCAGAGGAAGAACCTCAGAAAATTGAAAGAATTGACAGTTCAATCAAGAATCCTTATTTTAATAAAACGTCTAAATCTTCTGAAAGTAAGTTGTTGTTACCTCTATTTCTCAGTTTAAAATAAGGTTTCCTCTAGAGTAGCCATAAAATCTTTGAATTTATCATATCTCTACTTACTTTGCTAAACTTGTAATCTAATCTTGTAACCAAACATTATATAGACACTGCAGGAAGGATATTAAAAGGATTTATTGGAAACCAAGAACTATCATCATCATCTTCGGAAGATAGCTCTGAAACAGAAACAGCGACTATTGATAACCTTGGGTCTACTGGAACTAAATCCAAATTTGAACTGTAATTTCTCTGAGTTTCAAAAATGTCAATATATAAAAATCTCTCAGCTATGATACTTTATTAAGCTCTAAACTGTTTCAAAGTGTATCTTTAATTCTTAAAAATTAGCTAAACTAATAATATTTTTAGAGAACCAAAAACTAAATAAAGTCAGCCTAAAATTTGATGATGACAAAGACAATATTTCAAATGAATCTATAGATGAGCAAGAGATGGATATTATTGATAGATTCCTCAAAGACCTTATTGATGCTCATCGCTTGCCAGGTGATATTTCAACTCAAGACCTTTACGTATTTGATGAAAGCCAGGATAAGGTAACTCATCTTTTCGAACTTCTCTGTCAAGGAGAACTATCACCTGGTCTTATAAAATTTCTGACAGTCAAGAAAACAGAAGATTCAGACTTATTTTACTGAGAGAACCCCGCAGAAAGTACTGATGACTCTAAAAGTTACAGTTTGATTCTGTCAATTCTATCATTAGTTGATGGAGACTACACTAACTTCTACAGGCATTGCGACATGTTAGTCAATACAATTTCAAATCAGCCTGACAGGAAAAATGATAAGAGGAAAGAAATAGCTTTAACTGTTATGGCACTTATCCACGGAATCCCATTTGAGCCTGACCTAAAAATCGAACAGGATATTGATCAATTGCTCTTGGATTACTTCTCTAAGTTATTTAAAACCAAAGCTGAGACTGCCATTGATCTCCATACACTTTTATCAAGGAACCAGTACGAGCTGTATCAATTTTTCAAAGACATGTCTGACTTTGATCCTAATCTTGAATACGACAAAAATATAATTCATCTGAGAAAGAAAATGTACAGAATGATTTACTTCAAGTTCAACTTTGATCAGGAGTCATTTGAATGGTTCAAGACTCTAAGTTGTCTAATCCTAGGAGACATAGAAAGAATCGAATTCATTGCTGGGGAGTTTGACCTCTCCCCCGCTTCAATGGATCTCCTCAAAGCGATCACAACACTTAAAATAGAAGAAATGGGTCCTTTATTTAATTTGATTCAGAAAAGAGTAAGTGCAGTTATTCAAATATAGACCAAAAACGAAATCAGTGTTGAAATTCAAAAAATGTATACAAATATCCTCAGGTCTGATATTGGAGCTACTTTCATGTTGATGTTTGGCGATAAAAATTCTTCTGAGAAAATCTTTAAGAAACTTTCAAGCTACACAAAGATATTTGAGATGATTATTAGTACGACACATTGCTCACAGGAAGAAATCGCTAGTGTTCTCGGCATCAGTAATATCTCTCCTTAAGTTGTAGGTAAAAAGCTCAAAAAAGCAAAAGTACTGCTTCTCTCAAAAGGTAAATTACCCATAATTTTGTAGATTTCCTCAAAAATTTAATGCAATTGATGAAAGGAGAGCTTGCATATGGGAAAATCAGAAAGGTTATGTACTCTCTTTTAGACCTTGCTGGTCAGGAAAAACTAGCTAAATTTATTCAAACCCACAACCAACGTAATTCTTTGGATTAATATGTAGATGTAAAACTGTATGATAGCCTTGGAGGTGCACTAAATGGCAATATTCACGACTTCGGATATCTTTGAGACTTCTTATTCTCAGGAGGCAGATCCTGGATCTGTTCATTCCTGACTGCAATGGCATCTAAAAGCTCAATCTTCTGCTTTAAAGAGAGCAACCTTGCATTGGAGCATACAAAAGAAATTATAGATATACATGTAAAAGCTCTTTTCCAAGGAATGCTAGGAATAGATTTTGGAGAAATTGCGAACAAAGAGATTGTAGAAGTCTTCAGCTATATTTTTGTAGCAACTCTTTGCAGGAAGAACAATGATATTACTGGGATGATCAATATTATTCAAAAGATTATAGACCTTGGAATTATTGACTCAAATCTACTCAAGACTTTAAAGAACATTATTGAAGGGAATGTAATTGATGAGATAGGTGATATGATCAAGCTCTGAATTCCAAGAATTAAGAAGGAAGTCAGCAGAATTGAAGGAATTAACCCTAGTGATTTAAAGACACTTGATTTCTTAAGAAATCATGATCTTTATGTAATAATCAATACAGAGACATTGAAGCCAGAGTTATTAGTTTCTAATCAATACAAGAAAAAGAACCTCCCTGCAGTAGTGAAACTAGAAGACTCTGATGTTGTTTTATCAAACGCTTCCCTAATTTTTGAATACCTATTAAACATCTCTCTTCGGAAGCCCCTTTCTATTATGAATTTCACTTCTAAAATCTTGTTGCCAATGTTCCACAACAATCCTACCTTAAAAATAGCATCTGCTTGCTTCCAAACTATCATGAACAAAAGACCATTCACAACTAAAGAAATTATGAATCTCGGCAAGATCATTAGCCAAGCTTTCATTAAGATGAAGCAGGGAGATCAGAAACTAAATCAATTAGGAAACTTTTTGAACATAGCAGGAGATTCTGCATCAAACCTTAAACGCCAATTTAATGCAACAGCAATGGTAAGTTATATCAGTCATTAAGCTACTTTGATTAACCCTCTGCTGTGCTACTTTCACGTTTAAAAATCTGAGATGGAAATAACCAATTATATAGAAACAACTTGGAGGAATCACAATGAAATACCAAGATGTTGAGAAAATGTACGATCCTAATTGATTCACCCTCCTTTGTCTTTTGATGGAATTCATCGACCCTGACATTCAAATTAAAAGGATCAGTGAGATATTAGTGGAAATTGCAGAAATTATTTCTAAAATAATAGAAGATAAGACTGGTTCTACTCCTGAAGCCATCCCCATGATGATTAATATAATGAAGTTCATTTATGCGCTGAGCAAGAAAGAGTTCTCTGCTATCCCTGAAATTGGGAGTTCTCTAGTAGATTCTAATTCTAATATGCAGAAAATAATTTCTGAGTTCTTTGGGATCCTAAGGAAGTACAAAAGTAATATATTCACATCAGAGCGTTATAATACTCCTGAAGTATCTTCATTTGTCGAAGACTCATTCTTCTTTGCTCAGAGACAGCTAAAAGATCCAAACTTTAGTGTTAAAGGTAGCCTAACAGCAGTTTCGACTCAAGGTGCTAAGATGGTAAAAGAAGTAGCAGATGATGTTAAAGAAAATGTTAAAGAAAAAGCTACAGAGTTAGCTGATTATGTCAAAAACTCCTCGACTAGTTATATCAAAGAAGTTATGTACAAAGATCTCTTCAAAATGTTTGACCTTGATCAAAGTGGAAATCTTTGCTTCGCTGAGTTCCAAGACTTATCGAAATACATGGGGATCCAGATGGATAACGAACGTGCATTAAAGATGTTTTCCATTGCAGATAAAGACAAAAATAATTCAATTACTTTAGACGAATTCCCTGTTGTGATGGGTCTTTTAACAGAACAGATTGCTATAGATACACTCAAGAACTTAGACTTAACCTCAAGAGATCTAATACTGTTTGCAGTGCTGACCTTGAGCTATTTGGTTCTTGCTCTTTTGTTCATCTTCTTTGGGATATTCACCTTCAGTAGAGCAGATGGCTTCAATGCTGTCATTAACTCCATTATGCCTCTTATCGCTGGTGCAATAGCAGCATTAAGGAGTCTTAACCTGAAAGAAAGAGTTGATTCGGTCAAAGAATACATAGAAGACTTTATTAGAAAAATGAGAAGAATCTAAACAGATTATTTTACCACAATTATAATATCCAATAAATCTCTGCTAGCTTGGGGTTTTGGGGTTTTGGGGTTTTGGGGTTTTGGGG